AGAATATTGTTGGCCACGTGAGATGTGAGTTATAGCGTTTGTTATAGAGCGACTGTTGAAATTAAGTGTATCGTGAAATTGTATTCGGAAAGAATAAACCAGTTTTATTTAAGAAAGAACTTGTGTCGCTAAAGTTTAGTCGGAAAGAATTTACGGAAAATTAACTAACGACTGGAGGCGTAACACTATCATTATTCCTAACCCTATTTGAGTGCCATTGTGACTAATTCTTTATTCTAGACTCAAAATAGTTTAAACGTTAATACTAGAATTCTTAAAAAAATTGACTATTTATTTGCAGTTTGACAAGGAAAAAAGATTATATAGCCACAAAACAAAAATTAAAACTCCGAATTTTACAAACAAAACATCTAAACGTCAAATAACTTTGAAACAGCTGGGAAACATGCCAGAATAAAGAAAAACGGCTTCGAAAATTAACCACAAACATCTGTTTAATAATAGAGCACTTAACAATTAATTATAACTCGCAAAACTTCCGTGTTTCAAGTAATATCAAGTCTATTACTTCTGTTCTCAAATGCCTGGCGTATAAATTTTCAGTATTGCTTTCTTTTAAACTTGCCCCCAGTGGCACAGCGGTATGTCTGCGGACTTACAACGCTAGAATCCGGGTGTCGATACCCGTGGTGGGCAGAGCACAGATAGCACATTGTGTAGCCTTGTGCTTAATTACAAACAAACAATCTTTTAAACTTTTATTTGCTACCAGATGACGGGCTTAAGATTTAATGTAGGAAAATTATAGGCTACTGAGATAAAAAATCTGATCAACCTACTTACATAGAGTAACACAGTAATCTACATATCGCCATACACTATATTTATCGCAACACAAACATCATAGCCATCTAATGACGATTATTTTGCCCCACTGTGAAATTAATAATAATCTTTTAACGTTCACAGTGTGTGAGCGAACATTATATATATATATAAAGAAACTTTGTAGAAAACCCAATTAAATGACACAGAAAAAGTATGTAAGATTGAACATAAGTAATAAAAAATGAATGAATACCACCTTACAGTTGAATGTCATATTCTCACGAAAAAATAAATAAAATGTTTTTTTTCAGCATATATTTGCTTTAAACTAAAATATAAATTGTTATCGTTGTCTTCTCAGTGATAATTAAGTACAAAACAATATTTGAAAAGAAATAAGTGAATTCAATTTACAGGATGACTACAAAGAAGTGTGCCTCTTCATACCGTAATATCTCACAAATTGCAAAGCATAGGAAGGTGAAACTGTACAAGGGTGTTACAAATATCATGCAGATTCAAGTGCCACAGTTGTTACAACTTGTCACAAGAGGTGTCACGATAGTTTTTTCACATAAATTCCTATGTGTATAAATATGACTGTTATTCAAAGTTAACCTTATTCAATCAACATGGAACTGAGAAGTGTGCAGAGAGATGAACTAGTGAAATGTTATTACACCAAAGGATGCAAAGTCAAAGCGGCTCAAAGGAAATACCAAAGAGTGCATAGCATCTGTAGATGGCCTTTTTCCAGCATTTCTTTGTGTAAGTTTTTATAAATTTGAGAAGACAGGTCGTACTTCTCATAAGCCACGTACAAGTACAATACTAACATCTACTATTACTATTGCTGAGGTTAGCTCTCCCTTAGCGGAACAAGTCAGCACAATAATGGTTGGAGACGGCTTGAATGGGTAATGAAGAAAAACTTTAATATAAGTTTAACACAACAGCAAATGCACAACGTTTCGACAAGGTTTTGTCATCATCAGGTCTCCAACCATTATTAGTCTCAAAGTGGGTTCCTCATCATTGAATTTTAAGTCAGCACAAGTGCACAGAAGTGCATGTTATGTTGTTAGGTGTCTGGGTTTGCCAATTTCGACTGTAAGGTTTTTCGTTCAACTTTGCGAATGTGTCACTACAAGCTGAATCATAATGAAGCACTGAAGGAGATGAATTTTTATATCTCAGTACTTGTAAGTAATTGTAAGTTGATGAACAATGACCTGCTAATATCTTATGGCCTGATGAATCACTCTTCATCCTTTTGGAAGTCTCAAGACGTGCAACTGAATAATCTTGTCTGAATTTAATACACATGCAACATTTCCTACACACCTCAACGATGCTAAAGTAACAGTGGGAATGTGGATTCACAGGTGTCTTTGTTATTGGACCATAACTTTTGAAGAACCTTCAGCACATTGCTTGAAACCTATACAGTCAATGCTGCATGGGACCATTAAATGCTCAAAATCAATATGATTCCCACGCTGCAGCAACAAAGTGTGATAGACACAATGGATCACAAAGATATTCAGAGGCACTGTGTCAAGCAACTTGACTGGTATGGAATAGTATGGTTCATTCTCCAGCTGCTTTAGATATGTCACGGTAGAATGGGAAGTAAGACTGGAATACT